AAACATGGAATTAGCCCAAAACAAAATCACAAGGCAAAAAACACTTAGTTTACAGTGTGAAAAAGCCCAAACAGGCAAAAAGACCCAAAAAACCCCAACAGAATATAATCTGGATTCACCAGAGATAAAACTTGAAGTAAACTCAAAAAATGCTTAAATGCAGCCTTTCAAGGGTTGTAAAAAGAAACTCAAGCTTCAAACACAGCAGGAACTGAAATGCAGGAATGCAGGAATGTGGTCGATGCCAGCTCCAGACGCTCAGCCATAGATGTGGAGGAGAGAGTAACGATAAGGAATGAAGTCCAGTCCGGTCCGATCCAAAGAGAGATGAAACAGCTGCCAGGTCAGGTCCCGATACGATGAGTAAACACAGGGAGCCAAAGCAGCGGGGCAATGCGGCAGCTAATGCAAATATCAAAACAGTGCAGTCCAGCAAAAACCCACACAGTTCCAGCCCCCTTTGCTGCTAAAGCCCAGAGCATAACTTACATCCCAAAGTCTTCTTTCAAACCCATCTTCTGTAGCAAAGATCCATAAAGCGCCCAACAAGACTCCTTGCCGCTTGCAAGGTTACAATAGCAAACACTCCCCTTTTTATTACAAGTCCTCATAAGAGCTTGATTCAGCCAACACCCGTGTCCCAGCTGTATCTTGTTGCAGCTCCTCATCCGAACTGGAGTCGCCCCTAGTTCGGCCCAACCCATTCCCAGCTGTGCCTCTTCCACCACTCCTCCAAGTAGTCCATCTCTGGTCTAATCCTGAAGGTCCCCAAGTCCCATCCAAGTCTTCACTATTCCAACCCTCAAATGTGTCACTGCTTGTGGGTTCAGCACAAATATCTTGAATCTCTCGAACCCTTTTCCAATCCATGCCATCAGACCCAGAATCTGATATCCCATCATCCATTTGCATCAAAACCCTCAAAAGAATCCTCATCTGTTGGCTCACTAAGTATCTCCCGGATTCTTTTCCTTTGTTGCTCTTCATCATAGTCTTGCTCGCGAGTAGTTTTCCTGCCTCTCCTACTACAACTAGTGTTACTATCACTGCCAGCAGACTCTATCACAACACTTTCACTGACACTATTATTTCCGGGATTTCTACCCCGTCTCTTTCTCCCCCCCTAAGGGGGACTCAGGATGGCTTACATTTTGGCAGCGATTCTATGCCACTACATATAAACAATTACAATAATACAACAACCATTAAAATATAGAAAGCATTAATATAAAACAGTAAAAGTAAAGGGTTAATGTGGATTAGAGTTTTAACTTTTGCACAAACTTTTTGAGTATGTTCAGAGAGCATATATATACATGGTCTCTGAGTCGTTTGTTTGATAAGCGATAATCAAGACTCCTGTTACTGATTTATGTTAGTCTTTTGATTCAATTCGGAAGCAAAGCAACTGGTTTTCCTTATTCAAACTTTGACTTTTGTTTATATTAGTGTAATTCCTATAGCTTCCTATCATTATCTTAATCTTCAAGTATGTTATATTTCTGGATGGCAGATTGATATAAAGTTAAGCTTCTTACCATAGGCAAATCATGTCATACAACAAGCAGGGATAATGATACTCTTCACTAGCTTGGAAAATTGGGGTTATCCACCTGGGCTAACAATAAATGCCAATAAGATGAAGTATTGTGCGATAATGGATAAAGTTAAATATAGGAGCAGTGGAGTGGTAGAACAAGCAATATCTAATATGGATTGAGAAATATTGGTTCACATTGATGATTTCACCAAGGATAAATATGGGGAAAATGTTTTTCCACAAATGAGACAAACCCCCCCCCCCCCAAAAAAAAAAATTGGTTAAATAAGTAACTGCTTAGTACTAACATAGCCATTTCTCTCCCTATGGTAATAATAATAATAACTTTATTTATATTCTGTCCTTTCTCCTCAAGGGGATTAAGGGTGAATATGGTATGTACTGTTAATTGATGTAGAGCTAATAGATGAACTGAATGTAAATGCAGTAAATCAAATCAAAATTCATTTAAATAAATTCATTTAAAGACATTTGACAATAGAGAAAGAGGTTAAGAGAATAAAAGTTAAATGGTGCACTACTATTGTAAAAATTGTGATAGTAGATACATCATAAATATTAACAGGGTGGTGATAGCCAAACCATTAAACCAGATGTTTGAAGGAAAGGTAAAAGTAAAGGATTTGGCCACAGTGGTCCATGTCTTGGTTACCTCTAGGTTGGACTATTGCAATGCGCTCTATGTGGGGCTGCCCTTGAAGACAGGCTGGAAATTCCAACTGGTCCAAGGGGCGACAGCCAGACTACTAACTGATGTGAGTTATGGAGAGTGGTCAACCCTCCTGTTTAAGGAGCTCCACTGGCTGCTGTTTATTTTCCGGTCCCAATTCAAGGTGCAGGTTTTAACCTACAAAGCCCTAAATGGTTTGGGGCCGCCTACCTGCATGACTGCATTTCCGTCTACAAACCCACGCAACCTCTTCGATCTTCCGGAATGGCCCTTCTCTTGCTCCCGCCCTCATCACAAGTGCGACTTGTGGGGACGAGAGAGAGGTCCTTCTCTGTGGTGGCCCCTCGGCTCTGGAATTTGCTCCCCAGAGATATTAGGCAAGCCCCCATCCTGGCAATCTTCAGGAGGAGCCTGAAAACTTGTCTATTCCAATGCGCCTTCAATGATTGAATGTATGATATTGTATGATATTCCCTGACCAAATGCCCTCAGAAGCACTTTATTTTATGGTTTTTGCAATTAAATCCAACCTCATCCCAGGATCCCCTCCCTGAGATTTTACATTGTCCTATTTCCCAGTGTTTTAAAATTTTATCTTTGAATTTGGTCCTGTCCAGTGTGATCATTTGTGTTTTAATGTTTGATTTTATATTGTTGTGTTGCTTATTTACATTGGTTTTGTATCTTGTTTTATTTCCTGATTTTCTGTTGTGTTTTTGTGTTATATTCTGTTTATTTATTTATTTATTTGACTTGTATACTGCCACTCCCAATCTGGCTCGGAGCGGTTTACAGCAGTAAATTAAAACAATACAATTAACTTTAAAATACAATAAAACAAGAACAGACATAGTCCCGAGTTATTCACCCATCGAAAGCTTGTCGGAAGAGAAAGATTTTACAGGATTTCCGAAAAGCAAGTAGGTCTCAGCTAGATCGGGTTTCAACTGGCAAGGCATTCCATAAATAAGGGGCTACAATCAGGAAGGCTCTCTGCCTAGTAGAGGACAGATGATAAGTCCGTATGTTGGGGACTTCAAGGAAATGTTGGTCTTCGGACCGAAGTAATCTCTGGGGTTGGTAGGGGGATAAGCGGGCCCTCAGGTACGCTGGCCCCAGACCATATAAGGCCTTAAAGGTTAGTACCAGCACCTTGAAAGTAATCCGGTACTCAATCGGTAGCCAGTGCAGCTGTTGTAGAATTGGGGTGAAATGACACCTCGCCGGCACCCCAGCGAGAAGACAAGTCGCCGCATTTTGCACCAGCTTCAGTGCAATTGATGGGTGTGGCCTCATGTAAGCTGCCCCGAGTCCCCTTGGGGAGATGGAGGTGGGATATAAATAAAGTTTTATTAATAATAATAATAAATAAGAAAAGATTGTGCCATTTTAGAAGCATTCTCTAGCACATAATGCAGCTCGCAAGGTAAGGCATGGAGAAAAATATTAAAATCCTTCAAAGGTTCATTGTTAGTCTGTGCAGAACACCTGCTTTTTATCTATAAATCTTCTGTGCCTGCACGACAGTGCTACTACACCCCTCCCGTATTTGGAACATATTCTTTTACAGACTAAACTGTGTAGGTCTTCTCAGTCACTTAGGTGTGTCTCTCAGAGGCAATTTTTAGACTGACCTTGATAGGAGTCACTGTATGTTGCACTGAATTCCTTTCATGATATCATGTCACGGCAACACTTAACATATCTCCAGGAAATGTAAGATAAGATCATCATTCCTCTATCACTTTGTTCACAGGGAATGCTCACTGAAATGAAATGTGATAAATGCACTGATCACATGTAGCGAAAGAAAATATGACCTTCTTATTGAGATGGCATAACGCAGTGGTTCTCAACCTTCCTAATGCTGTGACACCTTAATATAGTCCCTCATTTTGTGGTGACCCCCAACCATAATATTGTTTTCGTTGCTACTTCATAACAGTCATTTTACTACTGTTATAAATCATAATGTAAATATCTGATATGCAGGATGCATTTTCATTCACTGGATCAAACTGGGCACAAATACCCAATACACCCAAATGTGAATGCTAGTGGGGTTGGGGGAGGATTGATTTTGTAATTTGGGAGCTGTAGTTGCTGGGATTTATAGTTTCCTTATAATCAAAGAGCTTTCTGAACTCTACCAGCGATGGATTTGAACCAAACTTGGCTCTCATGACCAATGGAAAACACTGGAAGGGTTTGATGGGCATTGGGAGTTGTAGTTCACCTATATCCAGAGAGCACTGTGGACTCATGCAATGGTGGATCTGGACCAAACTTGGCATGAATACTCAACATGCCCAAATGTGCACACTGGTGGAGTCTGGGGAAAATAGATCTTGACATTTGGGAGTAGTAGTTGCTGGAATGTATAGTTCATTACAATCAAAGAACATTCTGAACTCCATCAATGATAGAATTGGCTCAAATTTCCCACATGGAATCGCCATGACCATCAGAAAATACTGTGTTTTCTTATGGTCTTTGGCGACCTCTCTGACACCCCCTCGCGACCCCCTCAGGGGTCCCGACCCCCAGGTTGAGAAACACTGGCATAACGTTTAACATAAAACACAGTGGCCAGATTACTAATACTTGTGAACCTAAAGTCACTATGAATGATGACATTTCATGATTGGCTAATATTATGAAACAGGATGGAAGAGGTACAAATTCTAGGCAACTAATTGCTATTCTTTGCTCTGGGTTGTATTTCTATCGTTTTTTAAAAAAACTTTCAATTTTGTTTCTCTTTGGCAGATATTCGTGGTCTGCAAGGATTTCTGGATCAGGCTTCGAAACTAGGACTTGATGTATCATTACAAAAAGTGGACAGAAACATCAGCAGGGTTTTTGCCAGCCTTTTTACTACTATGAAAACAGAAGAGTTGAATCGCTATCGAGATACCTTACGAAGAGCTATCTTACTTCTGAGTCCAAGGGGAGCACAAACCTTTATCAATGAGGTTAGTACATTCTTTCTGGAATCTTGAACAGGAAGATCTTTGTTGAAAATAGATCAAATAATGCAGCCAACATTTACTAACCTCTGGCAAAATCTCTTAGTTGTAGTTGTACATTTAGTAATGTTCCATTAAAATATAGTGAATACAATATAGTGAATGGACTGATTTATTTCAGAAGTTTTCATATGCTCCATATTCAAAATTGATTTAGTGTTGACTGTTTAAAAAAGCTGCTCTACAATTATGAATGTATGTGTGCGCCTGTATATATCTATATCTATATTTGTATAATTTACATGTATACAAATATACATGTAAATTATATTATATTACTGAGTAAGGACTAAATGAGCATGTTTCTTTCTGTTTTTAAATATTGAGTTTTCTGCTGTCTTGTGGATTTGATGTGGTATGGAAAGCTAAGGTGAATGTTTGGCTACAGCATTACTGTTTAGAAGTTGGCAGTTGTAAGGTTGTAGGTTTTCTCTATTCTTGAAGACCACTATCATTATTTGTAGATTAATTAGTATTGTATTTCCTGGAAAACAAACAGGTCAATAAGAAGCTGATTAAAGGCTTGGGTTGTTGAGAAGACTTGGTTGTTGTCTTACTTACTTTACTTACTTAGGCGATCCCTCGCTTTCAGAGGATGATTGTCTTCCAGTGTTCTTGTTGGTCCGTATGTGGCTGTGGAACCCTATTCTTGCTCTGCATCTTCTTCCGCAGTGAGGTCATTGGTTTCCAGGTGGAAGGCGGTCTTGGTCGGGGTTGGCTTGATGTGCCTTCCTCTTGGCACGCTTCTCCCTTTCGCCCTCCATTCGTGCCTCTTCAAATTCTACAGCACTGCTCGTCACAGCTGACCTCCAGCAGGAGTGGTCAAGGGCCAAGGCTTCCCAGCTCTCAGTGTCTATGCCAGAGTTTTTAAGGTTGGCTTTGAGCCCATCTTTAAATCTCTTTTCCTGTCCACCAACATTCCGTTTTCCGTTCTTGAGTTCGGAGTAGAGCAACTGCTTTGGGAGATGGTGGTCAGGCATCTGGACAACCTGGTCTAGTGGAGTTGATGGCGGAGGACCATCGCTTCAATGCTGGTGGTCTTAGCTTCTTCCAGCACGCTGACGTTTGTCCGCCAGTCTTCCCAAGAGATTTGCAGGATTTTCCGATGGCAACGCTGATGGAATCGTTCCAGGAGTTGCATGTGACGTCTGTAGACAGTCCACGTCTCACAGGCATATAGCAGGGTTGGGAGGACAATAGCTCTATAAAAAGCACCTTGGTATCCCTACAGATGTCCCAGTCCTCAAACACTCTCTGCTTCATTCGGAAAAATGCTGCGCTCGCAGAGCTCAGGCAGTGTTGTATTTCGGTGTTGATGTTGACTTTGGTGGAGAGGTGGCTGCCAAGGTAGCGGAAATGATCAACATTTTCTAATGTTACACCATTAAGCTGTATCGCTGGCATTGGAGAGGGGTTGGGTGGTGACAGCACCTTGTTCAATGGCAGGCCGAGCTTCTCATATGCTTCTGTGAAGGTGTTTAGAGTGGCTTGTAGATCTTCTTCTGAATGTGCACAGACGACATTGTCATCAGCATACTGGAGTTCTATAACAGATGTTGTTGTAACCTTGGTTTTGGCTTTCAGTCTGCTGAGGTTGAATAGCTTGCCATCTGTCCGATAGATGATTTCCACTCCGGTGGGAAATTGTCTATGGAAGACAATAGACGGTGGGTTGTTGTCTATGGAAGATTAACACAATAAATTCAAAAAATGTATGGGGGTAGACAGATGGTTGAACATTATGTGAGGTTGCAGTGATACTGGTTTTATAAAATATAAAATATGTTTGCCTGATCTTCTAAATTGTTGGTTAAAAACCTTTTAGGTGTTGTGGGATTCAGTTCTCCTCATCTCCAGACAGTTATGGCAATGGTAAGCCATGATGGGAGTTTTACAACCTCTGGAGCACTGCAATTTCTTCACTCCAGTCTCAAAGATGTTCCTATATTTTATTTTACACTTTGTGGGTTATAATAGTTGTGGTAAAAATATCATTAAAATTATCAGTCTAGCAAAGCTCTGTCACTTAAGGATACACATTAGTTAATTATGTAAATCAATAGTTCATACACATAAACCTATTTTTATTATGGCAATAACAACACTTACCACAACCCAACCATAGTTACAGTAATTTATTGTCATGGTTAGAGGATCGCAGCTTGATTGAGTCTGAATTGATATTTTTATATATGTATGAGTTTTATTTTATTGTATGTTATATTGTGTTCACTTTTATGTTTGTTTTTAGGCACTTTGTGCCATCTGTATGCTGCCTCGAATCCCTTCAGGGAGATGGTGGTGGGATATAAGAATAAAGTTGTTGTTGTTGTTGTTGTTCTACTTTATAGTACAAAGTTTCTGCTGCTAATAGTTGAGAGTTTTTAAAATTATGAAAGTAATCAAAATTCAGATACAGTTGTTGAGTAATAACTATTGTCTTTTGAAATAATATTGGCATTTATTAATTTTCATACATTGTCCTCTAAGGTATGATTACGAGTAACTATTTTTACAGAAAAGCAAGTGCCAGAATGTGTGTAATTAAACATTTGTGACATCTACAGCATGTGACCATAACTGCTGTTCATTTGTCTTTTCATTACGTACCAAAATTAACTTCCTATTATAATTCAGCGCAGCTTTGTACTCTTTAATATTGTATTTAATTAAATGATATAATTGCTTATTTTGTTGATATTAGCTTGGAAATAGCTTGGATTGATTTTCATAATAAAATTCAGCAAATTTATTTCTTAAGCATGGATGGAAACCAAAGAATAAATACAACCACAATTAGCATAACATTTAATTTGCTGAAAAGTAATCATGTTCGGATTTCTGTCATGAAGGAATCTTTTCTTACTGAATTACTAAGGAACAGCAACACAAATTTGTTGCTGCCTTGGGTATTGCCAATAGTATTTGCACATACATCTTGGAGAAATGTTTTGGAATTACAAGTCCCATGCCCTATTGACATGTTACATATAAAATTCTAGGGCTTATAGTCCAAAATCAATTTTCCAAACTTGGGATCTGAGAAACAATTTCATGAACACAGACAATATTAAAAAAAATAAAAAGATATGTGAGTGTGGTGGAAGGATTTGCAGTTGCAAGCATGCTGCCTTTAAGAAAAGTGTGTTCTCTGTTCCTGGTAGTCCTGCCACCTCACTTCACTAGGGGTTTTGGGCTTTTTGCTCCTCTTCAGTGATGCAGTCTGTCGAGTGCTATCACATGACATTGGTCATGGCCCTGCCCAATTGATCGCCAAAGTGGCAAGGAAGCATCATAAGACACTTCCTCGCCAACAATAGGAGTTAAGGTGTCTTATGGATAGTTCCGAGAGAGCTACCCACATTTTTTGCCCTTTCCTATTGTCTGTTGGGGGAAGGGGCAGAGGCTTGCCCCAATGCCCCCATGTGATTTGGGAAGGAGGGAGGGTGTGTAGGTCACTGCGAGGGACCACAAGCACCTTCCATTTCACCTGCAATTGTCAGCAAAATTGAACTAAATGGAGGTGGGGGAAATCTGTATGATGAGGTCCTTAATGAAGGGCCTCTGATCATTTTGATCATCTCATGGTTTTTACAAAGCACTTTTAAAAATAATAGTGTAAGTCTCTGAAAACTTCTCTGCTAACTTCTACATCTTAAATACACTGTTCAACGGAGAAAAAGTTGCGGGCCTGAAAATAGCTGTTCTTCTATGATTTTGGGGTGCTGAAAACGAAAATGACATTTAAAAATGCATATTGGTTCTAGTTTTTATGATATAAGCAATCACGTGATCACGTGTGGTTGAAAAAATGCATGTTGCGACTTACACTATGGAAGATTCTAGAATATTCTAGAAAGTTTGATGACGCAGTATTAGTGCCATGTGCAAAAGCCAGAAAGCCCTATATAAGGCCAGACTTTTGAACGGTGAGGGTCAGTCAGTTGAAGACTGAGACAGTATCGTTAAACATCGTTTTACATTGTTCTTTTTACTGTAGTTATGCCTCGCACGTGTGTAAATAAAGCACTATGGAAAAAAGATATCAAGGTAAATGGACTCCGTCAATGCTGTCAGACTACTGCTGGAGCATTGTAAGAGACAATCCTTTCCTTGAATACAAAAGAAAAGTCAAGAGAAGCAAACAGGATATAAACTAAAGTCACGATTAAAGCGACATTTAAACTTTCAGACTTTTCAACTACATTAGGCCTACTAATATAGTTTCTTGCTGCACAAACATAAATAGACTAATTAAATAAATATTTCTCATGTATAAACTATTGGCAATATAATTTGACTAAAATTAAGTAAATATCCACGGTTTATATACATGCAGTAAGGTTAGGCACATTATCATAATATTAACGAATTACCTATTGTGGAGAAAATTGAAATAGCTGTGGCATAAAAACCAGAGCCAATTAACACATTTAATTATTAAATTTGAATTCAGCATGTTAAATTTATTAAGAAATGGCACATTTCGTTTCCGCAACTGAGAAAAACTGAAAATTTGTAGAACAGTGATATCCGCCTCATTTCAGGTCTTGAAGGATGCTCTTATAAACTGGCTTTTAGCAAAAGAGAGAGGGGGGGGGGAGAGGGAGAGAACATGGCCAGAGCAAGGATGTAGTTATATTTCTGTTACTTTGCGCAACAATATTCCATTTCATGCTACCGAAGTAACCACCTCTAAAATCTGTAGCTCCTGCTAATATTCATGAGGTCTGCATTCATATGTTGAAAAGGCACTAGCCCTGTGAGGTTTCAAAGGTAATGCACCAAATTATTGTGCTGCTTTACCCATCCCCAGAGAAAAGTGCTATTACAGGAATTATTAGGGCTAATGATCCTGATATTTTTCCAGTTCCCTGCAGGAGTCTACGTCTGGGCTGAATTAAGAAGTAATTTGTTCAAAAATCTTCTGTTACTGAACCTTGATT